TTGCCTCAGAAATAGTTAACAATTGTTTGGTCCCTTCTTTTAAAGGACTAGAGGAACAAAATATTCATTTTCATTCTTGTCTTTCACATTAGTACTCGACCTTTCATGTAGAATTCTCAGGACAGCTTGAATGGTAGTTCATATGGGGTGTTTTATTCTCACAATATTCCTTGGATGAAAGATGTTAAAGACTGGAGACAATGACTAGTCCAAAGTCATCCAGTGGGTTTTATGGCTGACATATGAGCAGGGCTGAAAGCCTGGTGCTGCAGTCCTATCTATAGCTTAGCTATGATAGTCTCATTGAGTTCAGTAGAGCATGTAATGATTAGTTCATTACTCAAATTTCCATACAGTCCCTAGATTACAGACAAGTTCCGTTTCTGAGAATGCCCTTAAGTCATATTTGCATGCAAGCTGGATCATAAGCAAGCCAAATGTTTGTCTTTGTATATGTATTTTACCTTTCTATGCATCTAACACACTTAAGAATCACTTCCATATTCACTAAAACATCTGAAACAGCATTGTAATACTGGAAACATACTGTAATAATGAAAATATACAGTAATAAAGTAACTACAGGTATTGAAAGAGAATTTGTATGTCTGTAGGTAGGTATGTTTTTCTTTGTAAAAGCAACAGTTCTTAACAGTAGGGAACATTCTTGAGGTAAGATAAGCCTAACATTAACTGATGATGAAGATGGACCGAGTGCTGGGGAAGCAGGGTTTGACTGTGCTGCTCAGTGGGTAGTGGATTAGCACTGGAATCTGGGGGTTAGCACTATTTGTACAGTCATTTTCTTTTTCTCACTACCAGAAATACAGGCAGGACTTCAAAGAGGCAGAGGAACTAGAGATCAAATTACCAACATACGCTGGATCATGGAGAAAGCCAGGGAGTTCCAGAAAACCATCTACTTCTGCTTCATTGATTATGCTAAAGCCTTTGATTGTGTGGATCACAACAAACTGCGGCAAGTTCTTAAAAAGATGGGAGTACCAGAGCATCTTATTTGTCTCTTGAGAAACCTATATGTGGGTCAAGAAGCAACAGTGAGAACTGGACACGGAACCACTGAGTGGTTCAGAATTGAGAAAGGAGTTCAGCAAGGCTGTATACTGTCGCCTTGCCTATTTAACTTACATGCAGAGCACACCATGAGAAAGGCAGGGCTAGATGAATCACCAGGTGGAATTAAGATTGCTGGGAGAAATATCAACAACCTCAGATATGCAGATGATACCACTCTCATGGCAGAAAGTGAAGAGGAACTGAAGAGCCTCTTGATGTGGGTGAAGGAGGAGAGCGCAAAAGTTGGCTTGAAACTCAACATTAAGAAAACTAAGATCAGGGCATCTGGTCCTCTCACTTCCAGGCAAATAGATGGGGAAGAAATGGAGATAGTGACAGATTTTATTTTCCTGGGCTCTAAGATCACTGCAGATGAGGACTGCAGCCAAGAAATTTAAAGACGCTTGCTCCTGAGGAGGAAAGCTATGGCAAACCTAGACAGCATACTAAAAAGCAGAGACATCACCCTGCCAACAAAAGTGTGTATAGTCAAGGCTATGGTTTTCCCAGTTGCAATGTATGGCTGTGAATGTTAGGCCATGAGGGAGGCTGAGTGCAAAAGGATTGAAGCCTTTGAATTGCGGTGTTGGAGAAGACTCCTGCGAGTCCCTTGGACTGCAAGGAGAGCAAACCGGTCAGTCCTAGAGGAGATCAACCCTGACTGCTCTTTAGAAGGCCGGATCCTGAAGATGAAACTCAAATACTTTGGCCACCTAATGAGAAGCAAGGACTTAATGGAGAAGAGCCTAATGCTGGGAAACCATAGATGGCAAAAGAAGAAGGGGACGGCAGAGGATGAGGTGGCTGGATGGAGTCACTGAAGCAGTCGGCGTGAGCTTAGGTGGACTCCGGGGGATGGTGGAGGACAGGAAGCCCTGGAGGAGTGTTGTCTATGGGGTCGCGATGGGTCAGACACGACTTCGCAACTAACAACAACAACAGCTGAGGCCTAGTTACAAGGTCAAATGCTAAAGAAAAACCAAAGGGAACTATGCACCCTACACATGTCTGGAAGCACACTGGGTTAGGTATGCGCAAGCCAATGCCATGAAATGAAAAAACGTGAATATATTATCTCTAGGGAACTACACAGCCACTGATGTGTTGTGTAGTTCCCTAGAGATACGCTCCATAGTTAGCTAGAGATAGCTATGACTATCTCTAGTGAAAAGCCCTGAATGGAAAACTGTGATTATCTCTAGGAAATTATGGGGCCACTGATGTCGTGTCATCCAATGCACTGTGTAGTTCCAAGAATTATTCACAGCTTTTCTCTAGAGCTATTCATATAGGGTTTACGGAAATCTGCGTGCTCCTAAGTATGCGTTGTTGGTAATTCATAACCCAGGGGCTAGCAGTACAGATTCACATAAAGGTATAAAAATGGTGCATGTAAAAGACATCAAAACAAATATACAACATAAGAAAACAACACAATAAAAACCTCACACTCCACACTCCAGTATAAACAATACCAACCTGGGTCACGCTTCAGGGACAGCCTATGTGAAGAGACCGAGGTTAAGAGAGCATCTCTCCGTGTCAGGATGGTGGGTGCTGCAACACACCCTCTGAGGCGATTCTGACAGGTACTCATTTTACTGTTTGCCATTACGCTTATTGTGCTGATGATCTGACACTCCTCCGAATATTGCAAGGCAAAGGGAAGGGTCAGATAATTACAGAACTGCAATCATTAGTGGGAAAGACAATCTGGGCCATACAGGGGCATTAGGAATTGGGACCCACTTTAGACAAGCCAGATCACTGGTCAATTTTACCCGGTCTTGTAGTACTGAGTGGCGGCAGCTCCTCAGAGTTTCCGGCAGGACATTTCCCAGTCCTACCTGCAGATGGTGGAGACTGAACCTCAAGCAGAGCAATGCCATGAATAAAGACTATCCAGCATGGTCAGAAAGAAACTAATTGTTCCATAACCTTTAAGTCTAGCTCTAGCTTTTAAACTAGCGCAGGCCTTTATGTTTTAGACTATTTTCTCTGTTTTTGATCTCCAGCTAGAGTTTGTTTTAATGCTGTCTTGCAGGTTATTGTATTGCTCTTATTTTTTTTAAACTGCTATGCTTTTCTCTGTAAGCTGCCCAAGAAGTTCTTGTTTTAGGGCAACTGCTAAATACCCTAAATATATACATTTTTATGTACTGTAAAGCTGCAATTATATCACAGTTTCTAAGACATCAACTCATGTTCTGAGTATCTGATCAAATAATTTTACTTAGCCTGACAGATCATCTACTTTGCATGCAGAAGGACCATTTTTGGCAAACATAATTCCACAGAGTATCTCTTAGGAAAATGCTTTATTTGGCATTCATGATGAGAAGCTTGTTTTTCAGTACCATTTAGACAGCTACAGCACGTTTCCTGCTATCAGGCCTGTATCCAATGATCCTTGAAATTAAATTTAAATTGTGTGCATTCGGTACCCTTCACCTTTGCTATACAGAGGAAAGGAGAGGAAGGAGTAGGAAGCAACAGGCTTATTTATCATAGGAAAACAGTGGGGATGCCTCCACAAATTACATTTTTCTGTTCCCGCTAATCAAAAATATGTTTATTCCTGTCAGTTTATTTGCAGCTCCCCACTCCTTGGGACTGATGCTGCCTTCCCAACAACAAAGCAAAATTACATGGATGCCAAGGCAACAGGACTTTGTTTGTGTGCATGTACATATACTGATGGGAAAGGTTAGAGAACAACAGGAGGATCTGCTTCAATTCTGCTGAACCAGGAATATGTATATACAACATGGCTGCAGCCAGGTGGTTTCAAAGAGCAAATGCTATGGCCATACCATTGAAGGCTTCATTTATCTTTTTCTTTAGCAAAGCAGAACAATGGAACAAAACAGGGTTTGGAGATGCAGCAAGGCTATGTGGGGGAAGAATTCCTTTGTAGCCCTCCTTGGATGTCATCTATAAATTATTCCCTTCCCTCTCCTTTGACCACAGGCACTAGATATTAACCCCGAACACATCTAACTCATCCCTAATGGCCGTCTGTTCTGTCAAAACCACTTCAGGAGACAGTGATATGAAGCAGAAAAGCAGTGGAGGGAGGTGTTGAAGGAATGCTTAATTCTCTTCCCAGCCAGCACTGTTCTGCTTCAACTGCTCCCAAAGCTGCTTTCCCTCATGGATCTCCCAACAAGTGCAAACATTTGTTTGGAACTCATTGGAGAGACTTGTGGGAGGGAAGTGGGTGATTTGGATGATCTTCCAGAATGGATCACAAGCAGAAGGAACAAAGAGAGTGCATTGTTCCAAAGCGCCTACAAAGCAGATGACATGTTCTAAATAAGAACAGGAGAACTGAGGAGAATCCTTGCCAATCTCCGATACAGTTGATCAGGCTCTAAACATGCAGCCAAACCCACCCATTGACTTCCTCCAATGGGGATTTATTGAGGGTCAAATATTCCTGGTTATTTAAGACAATCCTTCTCAGACCTCCAAGAATTTGTGGAGTCCCAGCTGTTCTCTCCCACCACATGCAATGAATATAAAAATATCAGTGTCAAATATGTGCATGTTCAGTCCAAGTTCACATCTAAAATTTTATGTGTAGCATATTTTGAGTCATCTCTTTATTTATGGAAATCTATGGACACTTTCTAAGTAGGAAATAAATGAAACCAGAATATCATCTGAACTCTGCAGGATACAGGAAAACATACAAAGGATTAAGCATTTAAAAAAAAAAAAAACCTCCCTGTGATTTCTAGAGATTCCTCAGACTAAAAACTGTTTTATGGAAGGACTTACGGATACAGTTTAGCCAAAGTTAAGCACATTAAGGGATATGCCACTATATTTAGAGTATTTATTAAGGAAGGAAGGAACGGTGGACGGACAGACAGGGAACAGTGTATGAAGCACAATAATAAATGTTTGAATTCACTTACCTTTCTCATTGCTGTTTGATGGAAGGGTTGGTGGGCTTGTGGGCTTGGATTTATCATAGTTGTTAAAGCTCTGGCTGCGCCGGTTGTTGGCACTAACTGGACCACGAGTTTTTGCTTCGCTGCCTGCAGCTGAAACCCTCGTGGTAGGACCTGGAAGTCTGTTTTCAAAAGAAATAAGCAAACAAATTGTTCCTCCAAGCACTTGCACAGATTCAGATTAAATTCACGTCAAATAGGATGAGGGTGTACCTCCCATAAAAGACAGTTGTCCCAGTATAGAACCCCATCTTTGTTCTTGTGATCATATGTGGTTCGAGAGCAAGGACTTTCCATGGAGAATGCAGCTCTCTTTGGGAAAAGATTATGCATGTGGAATGGCTCACTCCACTGCAGTGAACGAATGCTTTTTCTTATGTATTGAGGTTTCCCCATCATTGAGGAATGGCTTAATTGGGGAGTTCATTCATTCAGCAAATGACTGATAGGTAACCCAGAGCTGAGAAGCTGTCAGGACATTTTGGAAGGCATTCATTTATAGGGTTACCTTAAGCTGGAGATGACTTGACAGCCAGTAACAAGAACCCAGAATGACTAGGGATCAGAAACATCAGGGTCTGAACCCTTGGCTAACTGTGAATAGTGGAACATTGTGTTGTAAGGAACCCCATTAGATTCAGGTGTCTGTCCAATGAACTCCAGACATTCCCTGTCTAACTGATTGCAGCTTCCTTGGAAGGTCCAGCCTCTACACATTACAATACCTGGTCTGACCAGAGATATTGTGTCTATTTCTTTAGCACTGAGATGCAAATAAAAATTTGTGCCTCCAAACTGATTGTTACTGAGGTTCCATCTCCTACTTATGAAAATAAAGTGTTAAAAACTGAAGCTGCTAACCTCTGGTACAGCCTTTCTAGAATTTTTCCTGTATGAGCCCATCCTAGAAGTCATGTTAATCTTTCAACACAGTAGCTTGGCTACAGGGTCCTTGTTGCTAGTGCCTTTATCTGAAGTAGCAACCTATTTATGTCTATGTTCTCAGGAATTAAATTAGTTTGCTGTATTTTTACTTGATTAATACAGAATTCAAAGTGCTTGAAGTAAACCATAAAACCACTAGGCTAAAACCAACTGCAGCATTTTTGGAATATAATTGCCTGCTGACAGAATTCCCATCTGATCAGCAATATTACAAACCTTTGTTATTCCAAGGGTACCTTTAAGGTTGGGGAAAAAGAGAGTTAACAATGCTTTCTTCCCAACAAATAGAGTAACCAGGGAAAAAGGCAGGAGGGAAAGTGGGAGAAGAGCACATAAGTCTTCACAGAAGCATGCACATGCTTTCAACCTTTAGTGGTGGCAAGTTTGACTACATCTCAATATATTTAGATAGCCATTACCATCAGCAACTAAAACAGTATTAAAAGGAGCTTGCTCTTTTGCTTCCCTAAAGACAAACCCTTCTGTTCTCACATGCTTGTGAAAGGGCACCTTGGAAATGACAAGAGCAACACCAAAACATTGCATCATCACCAGCACACACACATAGCTCTTGACACTGAAGCATCCCAAATAAAGCCTTTAAAGAAACAATGAGGGAGGACCCAGGAAGGAAGATAAGGAACACAAATAGCACTCTTTCACGCTACTCATGCTTTTGTGAAAGACCTGACACTAGCACGGCAAGAACCTGCATGCAGAACTCATGCTGGCTGAAAAGGAAAAGCGCTTGCAGTGCATGGGCTGAAACTGCCTTACACAGACAGTCATGGCACAATCACTCTAGTGTTACCTATTCCACTGTGACCTCTGGACTACTTTAAGGTACCAACCTATAACTATTTCTGATTTAAAGTATGGAATTGATATAAAGTGATTCTCTACTATGAAAACTCAGATATGGATGGACTCGGAAGGATGGATGGATTACATGCTGGTAGATTAATAGAAATAAGTTATTAAGGGAATGTTCAAGCTTTTCAGTCTATGCAAAAGAAAATCCAGCATTTGATTTAGTTTAATGGAAACTGTAAAAGGGAGGGTCCACTTATAAAATGGCCTAAAATATTTTAATTAATACTGAAGAACTGAAATGTCAATGAAAATATATCAATATGGTTCACATATGCTTTGCTAATTTAAAGATTATGAAACATCATCATTCAGTTTGTTCAAAATTATCGCCCAAAGAATCCATCATTCAATGCTTCACAGAGGAAAAACCATTCAAAGTAATAAAAAAGTGTTGTTTTTACTATGTGCAAAAACAGAAGTATGAGCAAGGCTTTTTAATATTTCTTCTCAGATTCTGGGAATACTGAAGCATGATCAAATTGAAAATTTCTGACTTTCTAGACAGTTGTTCTTTTGAAGGAAATGACTGGTGGAGATTAGAGCAAACGGACAATGAGGCAAGCAACTCAACAACAACATTTAACACTTAGAAGTGATGCCTAAATTTGGTGGTCATGGGTGTTGTATGATTTCCAGTTCAGAGGTTCCAGCCCCTCACCCCTTTCTATTGCCTAATATTTGGTAGGATGTGATGTTGGTGGTGACTAAAGGGCAAAACTGAAAGCTGGAAAAGTGCAAGTGATTAGAATGAGAATCGGTGGTAGGCCAAGGAAAAGCAACAATCCAAACAGAGGAAACTACTTTCCCAAAAGATTGTGCAAAAGCATGGCTGTTTTTTTCTGGAAATCCTTTTGGTGGGTTGTTTTCAAATTGAATTAATTAACAGTTCTGTCATAGATTCATAGAATAATAGGGTCAGAAGGCCATCAGGTCCAACCCCTTGGTGATACAGGACAACAAGCTTCACCATCCCACTCTGATGACCGTTCAGTTTTGCCTTGGATGTCTAGTGTGGGAGAGCCCATGACCTCTCGACAACTGGTTCCACTGTCATATTGCTCTGACAGTGAGGAAGTTTTTCCTGGTGTACATCCCAAACCTGGTACGCCACAGTTCAAGTTTGCTGTTCCATGTCCTACTCTCAGGGATAAATGAAAAGAGGTTTTTCCATCCTGTCTGTAACAGTCCTTGAAGTACGTGTGGCGTTCTGTCATATCCCCTCATAGTCTTCTCAAAGTTGAACAAACCCAGCTCTCTCAGCCTCTCATCACAGGGCTTCATTTTCAGACCCTGGATCATCTTTGCTGCCCTCCTTTCTAGTTTTTCGGCATCTTTTTAAACCTGGGTGCCCTGAACTGAACACATTATTTCAGGTGAGGTATGACTAGGAAAGAGGAACTAGTACAGTGGTACCCCAGCTCACAAACGCCTCAGTTCATGACCAAATCGGGTCACGAACAAAAATGTAAGAAAATCAGGTCGCAAACTCCACATTGGGTGACGATCGCAATCGTGCCCTTCTTCCGCCACAAACGTGCAGGTGATCACACCCGACTCCCCACCTGCACGCCCGCGATTGTGCAATCTTTCTTGTTGTCACTTTGTTTCAAATTTTTGTGATTAAAATTAGTTACAGAACAGATTAACCTTATTTATATTGAACCTTATGGGGAAATTTGACTTGGCTCACGACCAACTTGTCTCAACCAATTTGGGTCACCAGAGTCATGGGACGGATTACGTTTGTGAGCCAAGGTACCACTGTACCTCTCTTGCTGGGGCAGCGACACTTCCATTTATGCATCCCAAAACAGTGTTTGCCCTTTTCGCGGCTGTCAGCCATGCACATTCTCAACTGAGAGCCTCTATATTCCTTCTACTAGGGAGAAAAGCAGTTTGGGGAGGGGGTAAATTTGATCAGGAAAAAAGACTACATGGATAGTTGAGTGCACACAGCTCCAGTGGCTTCAATCAAATTGGTATCTATCACAAAATTTTGAAACATAAACACACATAAAAGACAAAATCAACTTAAAACAATGAAACCACAAAAGCAATTGCAATTGAATCAGCTCAGAAGCATAGTAGTGGTACATGATAAAATGCAGTGTTAAAAATTAAGTTAAAAAATTAAACTGTTAAAATGCTGGGAGAATAAAAAGGTCTTCACCTGGCACTAAAAAGAATACAAAGTAGGTGGCAGTCACACCTCTTTGAGGAGCTGGTGTATCACAACCAAAGAGGCCCTCCTCCTGGTAGGTATCCACCTTATTTCCTTTGGAAGGGGCTCCAGATAATGAACCCTGAAGAGATGGGATGAGGTGTTTCTTCAGAGAACCTGGCACCAGGCTGTTTAGGGCTTTGAATGTTAGCATTAGCACCCTGAATCCAGCCTGGTCTTCAACTGGCCGCCACTGCACCTGGAAGAGGACTGGTATAATATGTACTCATAAGCCAGTCCCCATCAGCAGTCTTGATGCCTTATCTTGGATCAGCTGACGTTTCTGGACTGTTTTCAAAGGCTAACCACTTACAGTGCATTATAGAGGTTCCCAGAGTACGGAACTAGGCTCTGTCTGTCCAACTAGGGTCATAGTTCGTATATCAGCTTAAGCTGATAAAAGGTGCTCCATGCCACTGAGTCCACTTATGCCTCAAGTGACACAGGAACACCCACAAACTAGGAACCTGGTTCTTTAAGGGGGAATGCAACCTGATCCAAAACAAGTTGAATATTGCCCAACTGGACAGATGAGCCATGCACTAACAGCACTTGTGTCTTATCTGGATTGAGTCTCAGTTTGTTGGCCTTCATCCAGTCCATTACCATGCTCAGGCACTGATTCAGACTACCACTGGGTTTGATGGAAAAAAGAGGTACAGCTGAGTTCCATCTGCATATTGATAGTGCCTCAGCCCATACCTCTGGAAAACCTCCCCCAGTGGTTTCATGTAGATGTTAAATAGCACAGGATAGGATAAAATGGAACCCTGTGGTACACGTGGCATAACTGCCATGGGACAGAGCAATCATCTCCCAGTACCACCTTCTGGAATTGACCAGTCTGTCAGGAGCAGAACCACTGTAATGCAGTGCCTCCCAATCCTAGCTCAGCTGGCCTATCCAGAAGGATACCAAGGCTGATGGCACTGAAAGCCACGGAGAATTCCAGGAGAATCACCGGGTTGCACTCCCCGTCTTTCTCCCATCAAAGGTCATCCCACAGGGCAACCAAGGCAGTCAGGCTTAAAACCTGATTGAAATGGATCTGGATAACCCATTTCATTCAAAAGTGCCTGGAGTGTTCAGCCACCACACACTCAAGCACCTTGCTAAAGGAAAGGGATGCTGGCCACTGTCCTAAAGTTGTGCACATCCTCTGGGTCCAGGTTAGGCTTTTTCAGGAGTGGCTTAATTACAGCCTCTTGCTGGCACCATTCCCTCTCCCAGGGAGGCATTTGCAACCTCCTAAACCCAAGTACAAAACCTTTCATTAATGGTTGCAATAAGCCACAAGGGACAGGTGTTTTTGTTCAGTTTAGCACTAGAACTGAGCACAAAGTTGATATACAGAGGCAAGTATAGGTGAGATAATCTAAATATGGTCTTTTCTTTTACTGATTATTACATTAATATTCTGCCTTTTTTCCTCTGGCAAGGAACCTAACATGACTTACATGGCCCTCTTCCTCTTCATCTTATACTCATAGCAACCCTGTGAAATAGGTTAGGCTTTGGTTAGTGACCAAAATCACCCAGTTAATTTCATGGCCAAGTGGGGCCTAAACCTCCAGTTTTATGCTCTAACCACTAAGCAACATTTTTTTTCATTATTTGGATCATTTTTAAAAACTGCACTTTTATGTTTTATTTGTATTATTGTTATTATTTTGTATCACTGGAGTCTTCAACTGTGAGGGTTAAAACCTGAATTTGGTCAAACACTGTAATCAGTACAGGACACAGAAAATAAGGAAGCTTGAGATGAAGTCTTATGAAAACTTATTCTTTGTACCAAAGAAAGAATGACATTCCTGGAACTAATAATCTGAATTACAACATTAAACAAGTGCATTATGTTTGTGCACAAAGAGTGTAAAGAGTGGTAGCTTATATAATATAGAGCTATCAGGCACTTCTAATTACATGTGAAAAGTAAATTTCATCATAAGAAAATCTATGATAAATACTGCAAGTATCAATAAAGATTGGAGCAGCATTTTGAAATGATGTGTTAAGATGATTGCAGGAGTCAGGATTCATGTCCACCTGTGACTTAGAGGAGAATAAATGAACTGAAACACTTATTATTCATTTTCAGGCAGATTAGATGTTTCCCATTACAGGACATGAAGGAATCTAGAACAGGGCTGTATTCCATCATCTGACATCATAGACATACTAACTACTCTTTATTGCCTTTAAAGAAATTTGTTTTCCTTTAGAAGCAACAGAAATAAATTGTAATTAGAAAGGAAGTTAAAGCAAGGGCAAGGAAGAGTCTTCAAATGCTTCATTCATTTTGTAAAAATGAACTATTAGTTGGCATTATAATGCATGCAAGCCTCCTCCGTGTATTCTGCACAGAGATCACTCTGTGGTTACCAGGAACAGGCCATACAGCTGGACATCCATCTCTTAGCGTGGACATCCAAGTGCCATGATCCAGGATTCCAGTTCCAAATCCTCAGCAAAAGACCTCTTGGCTCTAGAAAACTTTCTAGAACCAGATTTCCTGCATCAGGAGGACACATTTCCCTTCTCCAATTCTGAGAACTCCCGTTCTAAAGCTGCAAATTTCTCCATGCTTCGAAACTGAGGCTGGCCCCTTTAAGAGAGAAGGCCTCATGCAGTGTGGGAGAAGCCAGCAGATTCTAGGAATCTGAAGTCTTATTCAGGTCTGGATCTGCCAGTTGCTGAAGTAACAGACACATTCTGTGTGCCTGGCTTAGAGCCCCATGAGAGTTCCCTGTAAGGTGCTATCCACTCCTTCATTTATCTGACTGGTGTTTGACATAGGCTTTCTCTGACTTTACTCTGGACAGTCACTCATGGTGACCATTCCGAAACTGAACTCTTGCTGTGCCTGAGGATGCCTATTTGAATGGAATTCCAGTTTGTTGATTAAGTTCCTCAGAATCTGACTGCATCAAGTACCCTCAGCTGGACTAACCTTGATACTCAGCAGGGTCTGCAGCCTAAAATGGTTCACTGAACTGATGAGACCTATGCAGGAGCACTCCTCATATGCAGACGTTCACATCACAAGAACTCCTGTTTATAGGAGGGTCTTCATTGTGGAAACCTTCATGCACTCAACTTCTCTCACATAGGTTTTGTTGGTTCAGAGGTTCATATTTAAGTGAGGTCCATGTCAGCAGAATGGCCAGTGTTGGAAGTGGGGCTCGCAGAGTGTCTTGCTCAGGGTTAATCCCACAATGCTGTGTTATACAATTCATACATGAAGGAGACTATGATGTTACCAGTACGAATGATTCTAAATCTCATCCTAGGCCACCTCTAACTTAACAACAAGGTAGTAATATTGGTTATAATTGTGGAAAGGGATAGGTACAGACGAAAGTGCTTTAAGATACACTGAAGCCACAGAGTAGCTGAGCTATATATGTAATAAAATATCATTGACTACAGTTGCTCTGCTTTGGTTATTCTTAAATGTTTGGTTTGAAACCAAGTAAGCATTGGTAAGGTAAGGCCTAAAACATGCAAACTGGGATTCTGGCAAGGAGGGTTATCCATGCTTTGCATTAGAGGAAGAAATGCTAACCTAGAAGTCTTTTTCTGACCAAGAGTGAATCGGATGATTTTGCTTTGAGATGAGTCCCTGGGTGATGCACTGCACAACAAGAAAGAAAAAAGCGGAAGATGGGAGTGAGTAAAGAAGAAACATTCACACACTATCCCACTGAGCTGACGAGTTTTTGGAAAGGCATTCATCCAGATGGTTCAGAAGAGAAAATAATCCCTCACCCCAACAAAATACTCATTAATTTATGACTGTCAAAGTAGTAGTAAGAAAGGCACAACACCCAAGGAAATTTATTTCAGGCAAATACAAAATGGTTCTTATGAAATTGCGTGGTCAAATGTATGTTCTGTCTACATGAACATTTCCAAATTTGTAAATTTTCTAGAGTTGTACATTCTGATATTCACCACATCCAAAAACTTATTTTTGGTGATTCTCCTGCTGACATGAGAAGCCAAACACATTTCCTTCCATTGATTTTTGTTGTTGCAGTAAATACCAGATCTCACCACATGAGGGTGCATTTCAATGAATGCTTCATCATACAGAAGTAAAGAAAGTATTGCCTTGGAGTACTTCCCATGAACAAAATGCAAAATGCAATACAGAATTCAGACTTTAAATTGTGCAATTATAGCTCAATAATCATGATCCCCACATTTAAAATGTATATGAAAACATGTTTATCTTTCTGGTTAAGTACTGTCAAAACCAATCAAGATCAATCAATCAAAAATACTGTGTCTGTCCTCTGACCCACCCTTCCCAGTAAAGCCAACACCACTTTAGTGGGAGGAAATGGCAACAATATGTAGACAAAGGCTTAAAGTGTTTTCCCAGCACTGCTGTCCTGACCAATCTGCCTTCTGCCCCTGTAGATGTTTTTAAGGTTTAAAGATGATTTGGGGTGATTCCATTATGAATCCCCCAAATGAAATGTCGTTTGGGCATGAAAATATGCTGGTATAAAAGCCTAAGTTTATTACATATTTCTGGAAGTCCTTGTACTCATATTCATAGCAGGAATCCCAGGCACATGTGGTAAACACACACACAGGGTGTTCCTTTCCACATAAACCAGCTGATGAGGCTGCACAAGTGGAGCCCAGTTGGTAAAACAGCAATTGTATGATTAGCTGTTCAGAAGGAGAAATGGTGGGCAGAATTTACTTCCTCTGCTTCTAGTCCACTGCCCGACAGCTGATCAGCAGTTTTTCTAACTCCTATTTCTCCGCTGCTTAATTTTGTTCCACCTTCAGCTGACTACTGCTATGACTTTCACATTGATTGCCAGGGTGGGTCAGAAACGCCTCTGGGCGGGTCATATTTGCTAGTTTTCCAGATGCAAAGACTTCCAAGTCAGATGATATCTTGGCATTTAAAACAGAAAAAAATAACCGCTTAGAGAAGACCACCACTCACCTGGACTGCATTTCTGGTTGTGCTTTTAACTGGAGATGAGGCAGTGGCTGGGGTTGCTGGCACTGAGTCTGGGGAGAAGCTGGCACCGGTTGCTGCTGTCCCTGCAGCTGCAGTTCTTGCAGCCCAACCTGGCACTGGGATGGAGAGCCTGCTTGCTGGGGTGATGTAGGTGGTTGCTGGGATGGGAGGTGCTGTGAATGCTGCTTGGGGGGCTGCTGCTGCTGCTGCTTGTACCGTGACAGGCTGAAGAAAAGACCTAGGATGGCCTTTAAATTCCCATTCCTGATTTCTGCAAGGCAAGTTTAATGTATCTTTAATATCAGTAACCAGGGCACTTTATCCATCCAGCTGAATTGTGCATTTGAGCTTTAACACTGTTCATAATACTGACAGACTTTCTGCAGACCTAACTGCGATCATGCTTGGTTAAAACTGGGCATCATCTATTAAGTAAATTAGTTATTTATCCCCTGCAGAAACAAGGCACTGAGGAAGCTTTCTGGGTGGGGAGAGGTAATTCCAAGCCATTCTAGCCACACAAATGCATATTTACCCTTAGAAGAAAGGATACACACACATGATTCACTGTATACAAGGATTAGTGAGCTGGCATGATCAACAATGAACTACAAGTTCCCACCTGGATGGGGAAGAGGACTGCTAGGGTGAGGAGAAACCTGCTTCCCATTTCTAGGATCCTTCAGAAGATACAGGATGAGGTCACATGTGGATTTCCAAGTGTGTTAACTCCAGGATCAGGGCATATACAAATGAACAAATTTATGGATGAATAAGGGATTAAAGATAATCAGTACTGGTGAAGGAACACAGAGTACCACACATGAATGTCTTGCCTTTGGTTGAGAGAAGATCTCTATTTCTATCTTTTTGCATTTTTGACAAGGAAAGTAGTGCCAGCTAGCCTGAGTACCACCATAGCCCTGTCAGATGAAGCAGTCTTATGCAGGATTCTCCCTTACACTGAGAAGTTTTTTGCTCAACATGGCCACCAAATGTTCTGCTGGAAAACAGCAAAGCTTGCATGATTATGGGCTGCAAGGGTGAAGCTGGCCAGCAGAGTCCCACAGCACCCACATGTGTGCCTTCAATAGGTATGGAGGTTCTACAGATCCCCCAAATATATTGTGCCTAGAATTATGCATAAAATCTTGGCATTGCCCATACCAAAGGAAGAATGGAATTCAAAGTGGAGATCATATGAATTACAGAGCAAAATGAATGTGGTCAAGTGCAAATTAAAGTCTACCACCACAAATGCTTGGAAGGCATTACAGATAAATTGGTGCTCTAAAAATTAAGCCTAGGACCCATAAAAGGAATAGTAAAATATCACTGGACTTTTTGCCAGCTTTGGTACTTTAAAACTCAGCAATAAACTATGTTTCAAATACAGATGTATTTCTTGTTCTGTTATCTCAGGAGATGGACTGAGGTAATCCACCTGGCACTTTGCCACTGGACTTTGCACACTGCGGGCATATCAACCTCTTTGTACTCTGCCGACTAGTAGAGTCTGAATTACTTCCTCTTGCTGCTGCCTTGCATGTCTGTTTAAATATATATGCACAAGGTTTCAACAGCATGAATGTAGAACGCAGCCATTTCCATTTTGGCCACAAAAAGGATATTTTTTTAAAAAGCTGAAAACAAAATAGTGCCAGATGTTCTGGTTTTTAAGGCAAAGAGGGTTTCTTTTTTCAATCTTTGGAAACTTCCATGCTGTGAGGTTTCTGTTGTCCTGGTCGCCTCCATTTCCTTTACTCCTGTTTTATTTAATTAATCTGTTTTTTTTCTCAGAGATGCAAACCACTCAAATCTCAACTGGAAGCAAGGGAAGCCACACAAAAAGCTAGCTGAGAAGCTCTGTACTAAACTAGAGGGAAGAGGGGTGGTTGTGGGGGGGGGGGGAGACTTTCAAGGAATATAATTGTATGTGAAAATGTTCCTTCTCTATTCAAAAATCCCAGACAGGATTTTCATGCCATTTCCAATCAGTTCCCAAAACAACGCTTTTCAACAGAGCTACTCAGCCAAGAGTCATCTAGCTCTGATGTTGCAAAGACATGTGTGAATCAACCCTTAATTGGAAGTGTTCTCTCAACCTTACAAGAGTGAGTCCTTACATCCTGTTGGAAGAAAAAGAGAAAACGACTTCTTATATTTCTAGGCGCTCTTGTTTTGATTCAAGAATCATATTCTCTATAACTTTGTTTGCCACTTAGTGCTCTTATTTCAGACATAAATATAATCAGCTCAAAACATAGTATAATTATCCCATTGGCATAAGAAGCAGGGATTCCCCAGCACTCGGTATCTCAGTGCTTGGAGCCAGGGAATTTCATTCGCTGGCAATCAGAATTCTACTACTGAAAAAGAAAATCTTTCCTGTCTCAGCTGAGAGGGATTTGTTGAGCCGTTGAGCTTCCTTTTAAGCATGCTGGCAACCGACATGTACCAATGTGCTCTCAAGTTCACTCTAATACAAGGGAAGGACTGCCGTTGTAGGGACGGAGCCTGTTTCTTCCAAATTACAGCATTCCATGCTAGAGAGCTCATACTCTGAATGTGAGCATGAAGAAGAGGAGGAGGGGTTGGAATGCATTGCTGAAATGTCAAGGTTAACAAACTACGAGATTAGCAAAGCGGCTGGTGAGACTCAGGCTGCCTCTGGTTTGGGGGAGACATGATAGAGGGAGGTGGGTCAGAGGGAGAGGGGTGGGAGCTTCTCAGCCCAGGGTTCCTCATCCAGTCAGTCAAGCAGAGCACTTGACTGTGAAACTGGCTGAGGGTGGAACTAGCCCTTTCTGAGGAAAAGGGAGGAGGCTGATTCAGTTTGGGATCAACTTTTGACATGCGCAAGAGCTAACTTAACTACTTTTCCATTACTCACTCTGCATTGCAGAGTCAGCCCTGACTGGCAAGCCAAAGTCAATGAAAGTCTTTTAGAAGCCTTTCACCTGGATCTGCTGGAAGGAGAAAACAGGATGGAGGTGCTCCTGACAACAGCTTTGCCCGTTAAGGTAACAGCTACCTTCTGCCCAAGCAAAACTGCATAGTCTTCAGGAGAGGCAAGCTGACACAACCTGCCTTACAAACAAATGACCAAGAAGAAAACAGAGTGTCTCTCACCTGTGTTGGCAAATGCAGCCACTCAGAGAACAGTGAGAGGAGGTACTGGGTGGAACACTCAGCAGCTGATCTGACTGCCATTTACTGAGGTGGCTTGCACCTGTTCCGTCTTGCAAACATGCAAGTGAAAGTAAAAGATGAACTCGGAAGTGAGATGGGAAGACACATACTTGGCAGTGCTGCACCAATCAACTCTCATCTCCTATGTACACAACAGCTCTGATGAAAACAAGTGTTTCCTTACTGACCTGATACAAAGGGCGAATCCATGTGTACAATGCAACTGTATTATCAGGATTGACCACAATGCCTGATAGGAGCCAGATGGTTTGATTTAATTAAGAAAGTAAAAACAAAAGCAAGAAAGCATCACATCTTATACCAAATGCACTGTGCCCACTGTGCATGAAAGAGCCCATTCAAATATTTAAGGACTGGGTGCCGGGGTAATCTATCATGTGATCTGTATGAGTAAATTCACTGCAAAGCACAATTTATTTTCTGGATTTAGTTTAGCTGAGTTAATACAAAGAGTAGATGATTCTGTCACAGCCAAATGGAATCACCCTTACACGGTAGCAGTTATTTATATTAATTATTAGGTGAGACAGACACAGGCCTATAGTGGGCTTCAAAGTGTCCAAAAGCAGGGGGGAAATTTCCTTCTAACAACCAGAAGGAAGGCTGGAAGGAAACATGGAAGGGTAACACTTCCTTGGACTAAAAAGGGCTAGTTTAACCATAGAAGAAAGAAAAGGAAAGGCAGGAGAACAAAGAAAGAACAGGTGTAAATTTTTAAGCACAGAAATGAAATGGGAGGGGGGGAGAGTATCTGCTTTATAGTACACTGATTAATAAGCATTCTTATAACACTTAATGACTTAAAACATTCAAATTTAGTAACCGTGTACACAGAAAGAACATTATGAGGTTTTGCTGAACACCATTTCCTTGGGCAGTCAGAATAAGGTCTACCAGTCATCCTGCCTCCTAAGCCAAAAGCAGAGAAAGTCCATTGCTGGTTTGCTTGTCATATTCAGCCCTGTCATCAAGTTGTGCTCTTTTAGGGTCTCTATATATAGCCTCTGGTGTCTTGGCAGAAATGTTATTTTGCAGTCTGGTTGTCTCCTCCTTTCTTTTTTCCAGTCTTCCATCATCACACCTTGGCCTGTAACAAATCTCTTACCTTCACATCCTCTTCCCTCTTTGCAATCATACCCTAAAATATCCTGATAAATGGGTCTAAGCATGGTTTCTGGCAGAAAAGCATGAATCACATTTAATAATCAAAGATTATTAATCCCTGGGTGATATTTATGTGTCCAGCTTCACTGCTATTAGCCATCCAAATGTCTCCTGTATCCTCAAATTTACCATCCTCTGTGTCTTGCTGTGTATCCCTTATGCATGGAACTGCTTCAGAACACCTTCCTGCTGCTTCCTCTATTTTGTCTTTCAAATTATTTCACAAAGCCCACCTTTGAGGCCTAACAGGACTCATTAATCTTAATCCCTAACTAAAACTAAGCTATGTCACAGTAACTGGATTAATATTTTTTCTCTCCTCCTTCTGCTTGTCCTGTGGTGAATTTTAGATTTTACATTCCTTATGGCAGGGGCTTCTTATTGTTACTATAGAAAACATGATGCACATTGATAATTAATTATGATGATGATGATGAAGAAAGGGGTAACCATCAGATATCATACATACTTCTAGTTACATTAATGCTATTGTGATTTTCACTGCATGCTTTCAACCCAAAGCAAAAACATCACAAATACCAAATCCTCCTATGAAAGTGGACTCACCTTCTGCAGACAGTCCCTGTATGTTGATTCCTTTGGCAGCCAAAAAACTCAGGCACGCATCTATGTTTTCAATCTGAAAGAAAAATAAAAAAATGCATTGTAATAATATTTTGGATTCATTCTACTATACATGTGAAATTGATTTTTGATTATTTAGAAGCTCATGTTGAAAAATTCCTTGTACAATCCATTATTGTACAAGTGGGACTTTATTTTCTATTCTGTCTGCTGGACTCCCTGTATCCAGCACTCTGGAGCAGCTTGGGAAGGCCATTTGGTGAGTGGTTGCACATGTTCAATACCTCCCTTTAGCCTAATGCACCTAATTCATGTTGTTATTCTTTATTACAGAATATTTTGTTTATTTTATCACTTTTTCCAAAGAGCTCCACCAACATGACATCTCCTGAGCAATACGTAGTTCACTGCAAACCTATGCACGGAGTAGCTACCATGTAATAGTAAGACAATCAGGAAGGACACATTCTTACATGGTTCTAGCAAAAACCATATGAAAAACTGTGTGGGAAGGTTTTCCATGTGGTTTGTGTGTTCTTAACTGCAACAGTAAACCTCTTTTTCTGCATGGATTTCACAGCGTCAATGTGCTTATAGGGGACATCACTCATACAACAAGGCTGTCATGCTGCTAAAGATAGCCTGAAGTGCCTGGAAATGCTCACTTGTGGCACAGGTCAGGTCAGTGAGGCTCAATGAAGGAAGAGCATGAACCTGTCTTAATCTGGAAACAAGCTTTTCTTGTTTTGGCTTGCAGGGTCACTTTTGGAAGTGTGAAAGCCTTGTTGCTTAAGTGGTGGATCGCATGAACACAACAGAACCACCAGAGCCAGAGTTGCCCCATTGGATACTGCCCCATCACATGCTTGCCAGAAGTACATAGGATTTCCCACACAATTACAGGTCACTTGTGTTCTCAGATGTACCATACCATCAGTCAAACAGACCCTAAGTATAACTCCCAATACCTCTTGTCACAGTCTGATGAAAATAAACAGGGACACCGTATTTGTTTGATGTGATAGAAGTTTTCCATTTACTCTTACTTGGGACAGCTGGCAGAAATTTCCAGCCCAAGAGACAGTAGAATTCAAGAAAGGAAATTAGAAACCTCAACAGGAATCCAGATCATGTTTACTCACATAATTCTCTAGATGTTATGAATAGCAGCTGATTACGGATGATGACTGCTGTTTTTCATGCTGAGCCTCTATTACATCTAAGATGAGTGGAACTGGAATATTTATGAAGTGGGCTATGGAGAATTGCAAAGTTTCTTCATGATAAGTAGAGATGGGGAGGATTATCTCCAGTCATTTATCCACAGTGAAGCAGCAGAAATATGGGCATTTGTTAATTTGCTCAGAACGTCATTGTGTGCTAACTCTCCCTGTCCACCCTCCCCATAATATAGTATGAAAGGTTTTTTCTTTTTCCTCTTATGGAAATACACACTAGTTTGAGGTTCAGTTACCACCAAGAATTGACACTGGAGATCAGAATATTGCTTTTGATGACTAAATGAAGGAAATTCACCCCTTTCCCTCAAATCTCTGGATTTGCCAATTTCTATTGCATAGTTTGCATATGGAACAAAGTGAAATTGTGGAATCCAGAGATGATAAGGTGGACTGTGCCACCTAACAAACTGACTTACTTTGAAATAAAGGTCCACCCACAAATCTGATTGCTGATCTTCAGGTTGAAATTGTATCATCCATTCTACCCCATCAGAATTCTGCCACCAACCTCTCATTTCATTTTGCTCTATGCATAAATTAGGCCTCTATTATGGAAAATGAAGTGAGGTGATAAAATTCTGGACTTCATCACTTTGAAGTGGAAGTAGGTGTCAGTGCCTTTAAAAGTCTTCCATATAAAATGTTCCTTCTATGATTTGGATTAAATTATTTACTTATTTATTACCATATTTTATTATATGGCCACTACACAGTCTGAAGTGGTACAATACAGTATTCCCCTGACACAATCTACCTACAGTGTAAATTGGCTTTCTTTTGTATTTCATTGATATGAAATAAAAAAACCTATTTCTGGCTTCAATGGGAAAGAGTTTCTTCCAATAATTACAGTCAACTAAAAACACTCCTATCCTCAAACAGTTCAGCATTCACTCTACAATTTATGCATACATACTGTAGAGAGGGGGCACAGCTCTTGCATATTATAATCGCCCTTTGAGATCTGCGGGAGAGTCCCTTCTCCGGGAACCCTCCATGAAAGAAATTAGGAGAGTAAGTACTCGGGGGAGGGCTTTCTCTGCGGTGGCACCCAACCTATGGAATTCACTCCCCAAAGAGGTCCGCCTGGCTCCGTCGTTACTGGTTTTTCGGTGCCAGGTAAAGACCTTTTTATTTAAACATCATTTTAATTGTTAAAACATATGAACTGGCCAGGGCAACTTCTTCTTCCTTCTCTTTTCTCCTCCTATATTCTTTATTTACTTATTTTATACTGATAATTTTAATTTTATATTATTATGTTTGTAACTCAGTGTATTTTTTTGTATTTTTGTATTTAATGGTAATTTATTATGTTCTATTGTATTTCAATGTATATTATTGTGTTGTAAGCCACCCCAAGGCTTCGGCAAGGGGCGGCATAGAAATGTTATAATCATCATCATCATCATCATCATCATCATCATCATCATCATCATCATCTGCTTAGATGGCTGAGGAGGGGGAAGACAGGCAGAGGTGGGCAGATGACTGGGTGCTTTCAAGGGTAACTAGAGAAGCTTCTCAGGCTGACTGTGAGAACCAGCCTGCCTTGGAACAGGAGGGAGACGTTTCAGAGCTGGAGAAGAAGTGAGAGAAGATGTTCCTTGACTGTCAGAAGACAACAGGCAAAATGAGCAGACCAGTTATGAAGTGCCCTGGTGTTTCCACCAAGTAGCTCTCAAGGAGCAGGAATTACCCTGAGGGTAGAGCAAGAAGCTTTTCTTGAAAGGGAGGGAAGGAAGGGAAGCTTCGGTTTGGATTCAGTTCTTTATGAGAGGAGGCGCTTCTCCTGCAACGCAAGAAAAATGCTGCTTTGATTTATAGTGTTCCGCAATCTGTTAAACTTTAGTAAAAGGACTGTGCTTCTAATTCTCATCTGAGTCTGCTACAAAGAAGGGAGAGACCTGCTCATGACAAACACACATATACTTCAGTTTGACTACATAAGGCTTGATGTTTTACAACATACAAGGGAAATGGCAAAATAGTGTCATGTAATATATGCTCTGTAAAACTATATTTGGTCAGATATTGTTTAATAGCAAAACCAGCCTTGTCAAAAAAGAGCTCACAATGTAGACTTAGAACAGCAGCCAGTAAAGGTCTACACTGGGAAAAGTTTAAGTAGTAAAATCTTTCTAGCTTAGTAAGCATGTCTGGCAAATGTCTCTAATCATAGCACAAAAAAGATTTGTGCAGCCCCTCCTTGGAGATCAGCTACATCACTTCTAAAGTTAAGTTATGGGCACTCAATCTGCTCTGTCATCTCACTTATGAATGTTAAACATGCAGAAAGTGAAGACACTGTGCAGGAAAAATGCATGTGCAGAACACGACATACTTCCAAAATACCTGACATAATTGAAGCTATCTATAGGAAGTTCTGAAGGACAGGTGTTCAGCAGCATGCCCCAGTTCTTGTGAGACATCCTATGCTGGGATGGAGGGATTGCAGTCCTCTGTGAAGCATGAAGAGGCAACAGATGCCACCTTCGCAGAAGCCTCCTGCATCCTGCAATTGCCCATGCAATTGATAAAACAGTCACCTCTTCTTCCCTTCAAACATTCAGAACATGAGCTAATAGGTTACAGACTTCCAGAAAGAGATGTGGAATCGCCTGGTATTAGAGCTATCCTCTCCAGCATGGCACTTTAGTGTACAGCTCTGATGGGTACTCTGTTCACTTTGATCAGGAGTAAAACAAAACTCTTGAAGAATATTTTCATGCATTTAATCTGCTCAGCCAGTTAGCACATAACAAGGCAATCAGTCATTTATTCATGGTTTAATAGCACAAACCCTTACAGAGGACTCAGTGGCTTTCCAGGCTGATAAAAACGTCAGATCAGAGAGAATATAATCTGACTCCTGTGGGGAAAGGGGGAGATTCAGTCCGCCATAGATGAAACCATTATATATGTGGTTTCAATCCAGCAAGAGGATGCATACTGTAGAGATAGGCTCACTGCAGACTGTTCAGATAGGTTTGCCTGATTCTGAGGTGGCGGCAGAGGAGCAGGTGAAGTAGTTGACTGATGCAAGGTTACCTGGTGAAGTTTCTCTGATAGAGCATGAGAAGCTGCCTGCTTTGGAAAGGGCAGAAAGGTTTTTGGGGTGGGACAGGGAGCAGAGGCAGGAAAAACTCCTTGACCTGGTCAGGCAGTGGTAGGAGAAGTGACCTGCCAAATTCCAAGGCCCTGGAGTTCCTGCCCCTTGAGAGTGGAGGCAGATCCTTACTGAAAGGGAGGGGCAGAGGGAAAGTTTCAATTTGGATTCAGCTCTGTACATGAAGATCCTTAACCCACAACTCTAAAAGAAGACTTCTTTATCCTGTTCTATAAATGGGCAAGTTTCAATAAAGAACTATGCTACTAAAGTTTTGTTTTGAGTTTTCTTAAAGAGAGGGAAAGAGGGAGGTGACCTGCACACAACAGGCACCACTGCAAGGATTCATAAAAGTACAGTCCAATCCAGAATGGGATTCATAAATGGATAACAGCTTAAAGAATATATTTTCTCCATTGAAGAAAAAGCATTTATGTTTTTAAAGCATGGGTGCAAGAAAATGCAGAAATATATGCAAGACTTGTAAAATTATAAATAATATAATTAATTGAATCTGGAAACCAAAATGAAACCTAGAAATTCACCAATGTAATATACTACTGCTAATTTTCCACTGAAAATATGTCTTAAATTTCAATTAAAAATACCAACAGCCAAAGCTGTATTAAAAGATAATTGATGTTACTGGAACTCTTAGGATTAATTTTAGCAGTCCTTTAGAAAAATTCATGAGAGCCATTGTTC